TAATGCTCGTGACGCTGTAAGAGCTCAGTAGACTTTGATAATAGAGTTGGTAATTGAGGGGAGTTTCCACCGTAACGTGAAGAAAAGGCGTAAAGTAAAGAGCAATGGTTGCAGTAGAAGAGGATTTCACAAACTGAAAATTTGATTTAGAACAAGTTAGTAGCTACCAACATTTTCGTTAATCATAAGGTTGTAGAAAAGAAAGATGGTGACGTAGACTTATAGAAGGCAAGTTTTACCGCGTACGCAATTTCGCATCAGTTGCGGTAGAAATGGTTTCTTAATAAACCTCATAATTTGATTGCATTCTTAAAATTTCGCTAGCTTAACACCTCATTTCAAAGCTTACGCTGCACAACCACTATTCTACGTCTTTTTACTCAAGAATACTGCAGGAAATTTCCCTCAATAAAGGGTTTTTTATAGTAGAAGACCATCTTTAGACTTTTTCAGCATTATGCAAATATGTACCAATTCGCAATGAAGTTTAACAAGGAGCTGGATATGATGGAAAAAGTGAGGTACCTTCTGTGAAATACATCTGCATATAGAATTTCTAGGCTGGTATAAGCGAAAAGAAGAACTCAAAGGAATCACCGGGCTCCTCTGGAAGCGAATCTAAGGATGCTAAAGAAGCAACGGGCTCAAAGGATAAGAAGAAAAAGTCCAAAAATGGTAGCAAGAAGTCGTTAAAGACAAAATCGAAGAAGAAGGGCAACAAGAAAGGGAAAAAGGACAATAACGGCGACAACAATGACAAGGGTCAAAACAAAGACAACAATAGTAATGTTATTGGCAATAACAAGAATGTTGTGCAGATGTAGCCTAACTGAAGTGAGATTTGTACATTCAGAACAGACTGGTCCTATACGTTATTCTTGATCTTGGTGAAGTGATTCACACATAATAAATGTTTGAAAAGGTTGTAGTTGATTTGAAGGAGTTTACGGGAACAGCGCCATTGTATATTTTAAAGTTGAAGATTTAAATGCCGTGAACCGTAGCGCAGCCGTAGGTTTCACTGGTCAGAAATACTGTAAATCTCGCACGAGCTTCACCTTTACTTTA